TAGACGTCTAATAACATTTGCATTAATGTTTTATTTAAATATATGTTCAATTCACATAGTCGCCCAGCTCTGTAACTTGTATCAACACTGAAATAAGACAGTAATTTATAAAAAAAAGATACTCTGAAATTCACTGAAAAGGTATAAAAAAATGCCATCCGACATTTTTACAAGTGTTAGCTGTATTTCATTTCTATTAATAATAATTAATGAGATTTGTTGATGTCTTCCTTTCAGAACTGTAACATGGAAGTCCAGCCGCTGCGGAGACCTGCAGTGTCCGGGGAAGGTGCCGTCCCTCCCGCCACCCCTGCGGCTGGGCTTCGGCGGCTGATTTTGCTGACGAGGGAGGGGGAGAGCCCGCTTTTCCCTCCTACAAACCCACCCAGGGACTGCACCACAGCGACAGTAAATATTTGGAGCTTACCTTTTTGAGCAGTATTTTTTATTTGAAAATATGTAGATCGTAACGGAAAACTATGAGAGAAACTGCTCTGTCTTGTTACCCCAACTCCAGCTGTTTAGGAGGTAAAAGGGCAAATTCAGACTACGTGCATCTCATTTCTATGGCCTTTCTAGACAGCCACTGATGTTCAGTGCGACAACTGCTTTGGGACGGCAGAGACATCTAGTGGGAATGAGATTTTTACCGTGGCAGCTCAGCAGAGACGACACCTTTTAAACTACAGCCTTTTCAAAATAGTGCGCTCAAAAACGATGCCCAAGGGCCAAAAGGCTTCTCGTATCATTACTGTCCCTGCAGCTGCGCAGCCCCAGTCTATATTGTGTTTCTGAAGAAGCAAAACCATAGCCAAGTAGCGATTTTCATTTTCACCTGGGTTTAAATCGTGGCATAACCATTTCCAGCTGACAAGGCGTACGCCTTGCTGGGGGGAGCCCAGCTGGAAGCGAAGCACAGCTCGGCGCTGGCGTTAGCACCGAGCTCCTCCTCCCCTCCCTGGGCTGAGCTTCAGCTCCTGCTTCCTTCCAGAAAGAGCAGACGTATCGTGTCACATCTCACCCCGCAGTGGCAATTCCAGAGTGACTCAGTGTCTAAGTCTTGCTCCCCAGCGTCACATAATCCGGCCCAGCCACTGCTCCTCTCTTTTCCTAGGTCGTAGCAAAGGAGGGAGACAAGGAGGGGAGGGAACAGTCAGGAAAAAAGAAATTAGGCAATGCTGCACTAAGTCAAAATTACAAATGGTGAATATTTTAAATTCTGGAGTAATGGTAGTTCTAGCATCGCTTTTCATTACTGCTGCAAGCTGAAGAGTCGCCGCAGCCCTGTGTCGTGTGTGGGTTAAGACATAAGTTCAAGCTGCTCTCTCCTGAAATGGGTTTCTAGAGTTCAAGGATCTCCACTAAAAATAACTTCCTTCTTGTAACTTGACAAATGGAAAACTGTAATCATCGAGAAGGTTGGTTTTGGGTTACTGATGGAAAAATGGCCTTCGGGATCAGCCAGTCCTGCTCATATCAGAGCGACTGAAGCAGGAGCAAAATTTGATCTCCTGGCTGGCAGTGTTTTCTTAGATACCATTATTTTAATAGCAAAAATCTTTCTAAAATGTCATATAATAATTTAAATACTAACCACAGCTCCTTTTCAAGCAATTATCATAATAAAAAATAGTTGTGGAGATGCTGGATGACTCAAGAAATCAGAAAAGGCTAGTGAACATTTTACCTAAAAGTTATCAAATCAAAATCAGCCTGGTTTGATTTTAA